ACCATGACGTCTTTCTCTTAGGCTGTGTTGTGACTAAAGGGACGGTATCCGAGATTGCTGTATGGATAATCTTTTTTACCACTTCCCAGTGTTCATCCACAGATAGGTCGTCCCATGCTAAGGGCCAGTCTGCGTCGGACAAGAGCCTCCGCATTTCAGCATAGTCAGCCTTGCTGTAGCACAGACATGGTCGCGTAACATCCCATTGCAAACGCTCACGGAGGACAAGATCGAAACCTATGACTGCATGGTCACTGCTTCCCAGAGGAGTCATGATCTGGACCTTTTCGACGAGTAGCTGGTCACTAGTTAGAATATAATCTAGTTTTGATGACTTTCCACTAGGGCCCCACCTAGTGTCGTCTCCAACATTCTCAGTCAGTCCCGTGTTTCGAATAGTTTGCAGTAGGTTTCGGCCAAATTTTCCCTTAGCACACCCGGAGCCGAGGTTCAGTGATGGAGCATTGAAATCTCCAGCTATGGTGATTTTGTCGTAGCCCATATCACCTATACTGATTTCATTGTCGGTGATAGTGGCGTTTAGCCACGTTTCAGTGAGAATGTTTATTTTCAGTTGAAGGTGTGCTTGGAGATTTCGGAGTTCACCTACTTTTCTTCTCAGCCTCCTCACATTGCTACATAGGCAACTGACAGTGAGTCTAACAACCTCAGAGTGTTGTGGGGTAGTTGACGTGAAACTGTCTGCTGATGGGGGACTTGATGTTAGGACTAGTTGGCCGATTCCGATAGAACCGGCCCGTTGTAGTTTTTTTCAATGGATTTAGGCAGGACACTTGGGAGACACAGACTATTATTCTCAGAGCTGCATCGCTCTAGTGTCACCGAAGCTTGAGGTCGTATTAAAGCCTCAGTCTGCTGCCTCCTTATATTTCTGGGTCTGCTTTCACAGCATCGGATGTGTCCTCCAATTTTTCCCTTAGTCTCATACCACCGTTGAAGTGATATGGACAACTGCTCCGGGGAGTTGAATGTGACACACAGCAGCTTTGGAGAGTTAATCAATGTTAGCTGCGCGGGATGAGGTAGTCGGAAAAGACTGTGTTGGGGCATAAGAGCGTGTTATTTCTGCTATCCGCAGACACGCTTTGTGGGACTATGCCAGGGCGACAAAGTGGACACACGTACCAAAACCATGGGCATGGGTTATTTCTCATAAACTCATAGTATGCTTTCGGTACTTCTTTGTCACAACGGCAGTGCACCCATCGTTTGCAAAAATTACATTCGAACGCTGAATCAGTTTTTAGAAACTGTGATGCTGCACGCCAGACATTCATCTCCTTTCCTTGATGACGCCTTCGAGGTCTTACGACATCTTGAACGTTTCCTTTTAGGCTTGGTGTGTTTCACACACTGGCCTACAGTTGATGCAGGTGTAGAATTCTGTCCTTGTGGTATTGCCTGTGCTGTTTCAGTACTAGACTGTGGCAATGCAGGCGTTGTATCAGGGCAGACTAAAGCTACACGAGTCTTTAGGATCGGTATGCGGGAAGGGGTTGAAATCCCTGGATTTTTTCCTTCCCTGGCTGAAGCCCTTGTGACTACAGAGTACGGTATTCTAGTGGCTTTTTTAAGGCTGCTTTCAACAACCATATTAACAGTCACTATAAATTATGCTATGTACGTCTAAGAGAGCAACAGTTTCTATCCAAAAGAGCAAGAATAAGACTGAAAAAGTATAAGGCAAGGAAAAGAAAAGGTTTTCGACCTTACATAGTACTTTCTGGATGATCGGCTTCACAGCAATCACGTGGTAGACCAACAAGTCTTGTTTCTCTGAACGAGTGAGGAAGATGCTGCTACAAAAGTTGCACCTGAAGCTTTGGCAGTAGTTCGAGACAGCTGGACTTACCACACAGAGATTTACTATGTAAGTAATGGTTGAATTAAATTCACCGGCTAGGAAGATCAGGTTTCCCGAACGGATAATTCACAGAATTGGTATTTTCCGGTTGGAGAGGAAAAAGCACGTCGTATTCAAGGAGCGCGCGCTAGCATTAGAAACGAATCAAGCGCTATACAACATTGAACTACCTTCGTGAATCTCATTGGATAATTCGACGACGTTCACTGATTGTCATTTAGTGGTGTCGAAAGTATAGCTTGGCCGGTGACATGATTGACATCGGTAAATAAAACACTTAGCCTTTTGTATTTGTGCTGAGTTTTTATCAGCTATCTGTCCATTAGGGCTGACGCAACTCCACAAACTAATGAAGTGGTCGACATCCTCAATCATTTCACTGGCTATCTGCAAAATAGGAGTCAGCGTAGACAAATCCTGCAGCATCATTTTATATCTCACAAGGGCGAATCACATACCGAACATACCAAGTTTTCTGCTCAAGTTGTTCAGATATCTCCTCATTTCGCCTGCGTCTGCGTCTCATATGTCTATCTATGTCATCTGTACACTCCAAATCGATGGGAGCGTTCTCTAGTAACAAGTCAATTTCTAAGTCATATCCGTTAGGGACTCCTGAATGACTACTTGAGGTATAGTAGGGCGCGTTGACCAGTACTATTTATTTCCTCGGCACTCTCTTCACAGTCAGACATTTCCACACTACCTCTCGGTCGATGCAGTCAAATTCCATATTCGAATCAAGAAGACGCCGGTTGATATTCTTATTTTCCAGAATCTGTCCAAAGGTGAACATATGAACGATACACCGCAGTCTTGGTTCATAGGTCGCCTCGTTTTCATAGATTTGTTCCTCCTGGGTAATCCTCAGTCGATGCATGATTATTGTGATTATTATTCTTATTGAAGAGAGGAGTTTACATACTATGTCAGTCAAACTAATCCCCCTCTATGATTATCGCAGGTAATCTTGTCTCCTTTCTGATACTTATAAACTAGAACGATCAACGATCTCATTGACACCAGTCCGGTGGGACTGTCTCAGATTCCCACACATAATCGAACATCCTAGTCAATAGTTCGTCACCGCCATTCCTAAACACCTCTGAAGTCAACAACGTCCTGATATCGCTGATTTACTTCATTTTTGACTAGAGACAGCTTTCGCTATTTCAGTTATATTTGCATGACCCATGTATACATCCTATTCAGGTAGGTCTGTTTCAAGACCAGTTGAATTGTTTCCGAAAGTGCTCTCTCCAATGTTGCATTCATCCATTCTGGGAAGTAAGCAAGCTACGCTTCTTCTCAGAAATCGTTCCACTCACCACTGGAGTTCTACAGGTTTAATGAGTCCAAATAGTTTTCCTGTGTTACCTATGGCTCATGTTTCTTTCTCATTTCTCACCTACCACTGTTCACGCTCATCGCAAGGACATTTATTCAGTTTGGGTTTGAGCAGAGAAAGCTGCTCATCGTGTCCGGATGAATCAGAAGAAATCCACTGGTATTTACTAATTGCTGGTTTCAGGTTATTGACTGCCTTACTACTGTCTCTACATTTGACAGGATACATACTACTGTCGGTCCGTACGAAAAAGCCCTCATTTCTCGTCAAATTAGGGGCGTGGCGGATTGATGGCTGCCCGTTTTCTATAATTGCTCAGTCGTTGGCATATATATGCAAGGGCCAGAGCATGGTGGTAGTCTACACAGGCGTTTAAGAAGTAGCGGGAGTCTTCTTCTGACCTTCTCCATCGATAGCCAATCACCACGTGATCTGTTTGAATCCATAGTCGACTTGGTGTCGAAGGTCGTCAGGTGAGACAGTGTCTCTCCTCATGCTTGAAATTAGTGCTGACCTGTATGAAGTGATTATTTGATCAGGATTGCAAAAATGACCACCGTTGTCAGTTTGGTTGCACGAGACAACCAAGCCATCTTCCGTGAATAGACGTTTTTGACTGGCACACGATTCCTGCTTTCGCTTCACCATAATCATAGTGTTTATTTTATCTTGATAACAATCGTTCCCATTGACAGTTTTCCGTGTTTGACTTCAGCTAACTGCGTTAAACTGGCCTTTTACGTAATCTAAGTGTTGAATTGTTTATCGACTTATTTGTCTGCTAGCTTTTCTGTTCAAGACATACCATTACGGCTTTGTTAAACTCTATGTCGAATAAGATTCACAACTCCAGCTTATTTGAACACTTTTCGAAATTATTTTGTGGCGTAATATCCTATACCGTTTCTTATCGACTAACCTTACTTTACTGCATCACATGATGAGAAAACATGTCATTCTGATTCCCCTGATGATGTCCTTTCTCATAGTCACCCTGTCACTGTGAATTGTTTTAGTTTGGCTCCTCACCAGCAAATATGAAAAACGACATTCACTCTTGAATACATGGATAAAACTTGTTTTCATTTCAGATGCATGTAGAACCAATAGGCACCATAGTGAATATAAGAAAGGCAAATAGGACTTCGCGTCGGCGGCATAGCGGTTAGGACGCTCGCCGACCATGCACATGGTCCGGGGCTCGATCCTCGGCCGACGCACTCCCTTACCTCGCTAAGCCAGAAATAATGCTGGTAAAGAGGAAAGGTTGGGCATGGGATCCTGTAAAGTAAACACTGCTACAGAAACTTCAAGCTGACTCTATCTTGAAGCCCTATGTTCCACTGGGGAACGTGAACGAAAACAAATAGGACTTCAATAGCAGTCAAGCATAACTCTTCCTTCATTCAATAGTCCGGAATCACTAACTTTCTAAACATCAGCATAATCTGCCAAATCTTATATCACTTACTATCACACATCTCACTAGTTAACAAAATTCCACTGTATACTTTTGGATATTCCAGCAAAGCATAACTGATTTCATAAAGTCACTACTAACAACATCCGCCACCGAAATAAAACAATGTAGAAGAAAACAAATGACACGTAGAAAAGTCTGTTTTTAATTAAATCACTTAGTGAACATAAATATAAAATCGACTAGTAAGTGTTGGTCGATAAGGCTACAGTCAATAGTGAGTGTAATACAACTACTTGTCCAATCCATAAAGTCAACGTAAATCGTTAGAAAACTAAGGACAGAATTCAATCCTTCCATGTGAGTGAGATCGCTGTCTGTAGGAACGCGTATATATCCACCACTTCGTCAATCTGAAATACAAAATAAGAGAGAGTGATCTTGTCTGAAGATTGAAAAATAAGTGGACATTTCGGAATATCACTCACTGAACTGTTATTAGGCGTCATCATGGAATATGTGACTAGGAGTGGCGTTCACACGTGTATAAGTGTAGAAGGAAATACTGTCTCACTCTCTGGTCGATTCTTATGCATCATGGAAATGAATCGACCCTTCTGATCACACAATGACTACCATGTGCACGCTGATGAAACACTCATAATGATGAGTCACATGCATCAGGGATCCTTGGACACAATTAACTACAATCCTAGTAGCTGAACTGCTATAGTTAATCTCGAAACTCTCGCACTTCCAGCTTACTTACTAAACCTCCTTCTGGATATAGACACCAATTATCAAACAGTCAAATACACTTCTTCATTTCTAAATTACGTCTTGTGTGGAACACAAATAATTTGTCTTATCATAACCTACACATCTGCCCAACTCAGATACAAAACAATTAAGCTTGTCATTGATTACTGGTAAGTTATCCGGAGGATTTGTAGCGAAGGTGGATGATATCAGTGTAGTTGTGTTATTTGAGCTGGATGGCTGGTTTCTGAAGCTTTCATTCTCTCCCTCGACAACAACAACCTCGGCGCCGACTTCAATATGAAAAGTGAGCTTTTTCAATTCTCCGTGAATCATATCACTGTCTACCCTGATGACTTTGATTTTGGAAATATTACTAGTGAATCTGTCGACATGTTCAGCACTAAAGAGGAGTCCTCTACCATATGGGAAGAATGAGTGTATCCAGGCGAAATTAATAGACTACGTGAGTTCAGCCGTTTCTGGTTCTATTTTCATGAAGGAGTCTTAGTATCTGTTTGCGTAAGGTCCATACATAACTGGTAGAATGAAGGGGAGTATAACGAGGTATGTAATAGCATAATTATATGTGGACGAAAGCACTTGAAGTGAAACGAGTTCATACGACAGTGATTAAGTCTTCGTCTCTTTTTGAATTGCTTCACGTTTCCAGTGGAACATAGGGCTTGAAGTTTCCGTAGCAGTAGTGTTTATTTTCAATGGATGGGGTTGCTAGCCTTATGCCCAACCTTCCCTCTTTACCAGTCTTAATACCGGCTTAGCGAGGTAAAGGAGTGCGTCTGCCGGGGATCGGATCCGGGAGCACCTGCGTGGTCGGCGAGCATTCTACCGCTGTGCCAACGACGCAGAAGGCTTTGTTTTACTTATAGATATCCGGTTTTTGGAATGATATATAATCATAATCAATCATCATAAACTTATTCAGCACAAGGCTATATGGATATACTACGCCCGTTATACGTTTTGTATAAAAAATTCAGTAGGGCTAAAGAGTAAGCCAATTCAAGCATATGTTCTTCAACTTACTGATTTTGATGTTGGTTTCCCCTGTCCATGCCCAGCTTTCGATTCTATTCGAGCGAGAATGGGGTTTGTCTGTCGGCTGTTTTCACATCGACACAGTATCTCTTGTAATGTTGAGATAAATTTGAATGAGTGTAACGGGACTACACGATCATCGTGATCTGCAGTCAAAACCAATAACGCTGGATATTGTACACTTGGGTTAGATGGAACTTTAACATTGTGGAGTGGTGATAATCTGTATAGAATAAGAATGCAATAAAATAGATTGTAGCTGTTAAGCAGTAGCAACTGGGCAATACTGAGAGTTCACAGTATACAAATAAGTAGAAGGAATATGTGGATGAACAAACAAGTACAAAAGTCTGCAAATGCTAGCACCCTTCAGTACATCTGTACGGGACAGGTACATGTCAAACAGCTGACACACAGGTTCGATAGGAATTATTGTAATAACCACGTTCTTCTACATATTATCTTAAGAGTACATGGAAAGACAATTAATCAGTAGCAATTCAGATACAAGTTAAGCCAACGATATCATTCAAGAATAATTATATGCCTCTCCCTGAATTCGTCCCACTTATGTGTAACAGATTATTCTTAGTACTTAACAGCATACAGACTAATTGGGAAACAAAGCCACCTTAAGGTCTTCAAATCTGGTTTTTCGCAATTTAAGTCTAACAAAAACATAAACTTGTAGCCACGACTTATTACATACTGCTGCTGTTGCCTAAACTTTTGACGTTTACGTCTCACAAATTTATTTACAACATTTCTTTCAGTGGACTGACAGGCTTACCAAGAAAGAACCTTGTACAAAAGTACAACAGTCTCAATCGGCATACTTCGGAAAAATGTTCATAAAAGTAGAAGAAAGAAATATATTGTGAAACTACGATGGACAAAACTCTATCGGATAAAGAATATTAAATGAAGACCGGTGAAGAGTTCTAGTATCTAGTAGATGAAAGGAAGCCAATACATCAGTGAATCAGATTGTGAACAGTCTCCAAACATGTGGCCCTTAGCAAACCGAGGACTTCAGCTGAACAGTTTACCCCTCTCTAAGTGGTTCACACTCCGATAGTCGAAGACTTCATTGACTGGTGTCATGCTTGCATCTAACCACCACAGGGTCTATTTCAACTACAACTGCTCGTTGTTGGTTCAGCACAGTGAAACCATGTCCTAAATATCTTAATTGACTAAGCGTCAAAATCGTTTAGATTAAATTTCCTACTTTACCTAAACTTATTATTATTATTATTAACTAAACTGCTTGAACTAACACAGGGAATGGAATGGATTCACTTATGTTCATAAAACTGCCCTACAGACGAGAAGTAGAATGTAGTGAACTATTGCACGGTACATACGCTCATGGGTGGATACCGGCACATTACATTGGTGTCAAAGGTGACGCCCATCGGCAAATGTCAAGATATCATTCGGGAAGAAGTGGAAAAACGTAATCAATGACCGACTGGTTTCAACTTAGAACTTTGCACCGATGTGCTGAGGGTCGAGTCGTCATACTTCACTTAGCATATAAAGCACGAGAAAAAAATAAGAAGAAATGAAAAACAAAGGTAATAAACAGAGATATGGGGTAAAAAGAATAGTGACTTGGAAGAACAATATAGTTTTATTAGATATTATAAGTCACAAGGAATGGATGCATCTGCGACACTGAGAACGATTTCGAACCATATCACCAATTATCTCCAGCCTCCATTGGTTTTACCGTCACGAAAACCTCAACCAAGAGTAATAATTCAATTACAATAGCGTCAACGTAGACTTGTAAGCCACTCACTCATCAATTGACTCTTGCTTAGTGCTCTCTACAGATATATCAACATATTAGGCACTTGCTTCAGAGTTGCAGAGTTTTAACTCGGGTAAAGAAGTGCTTAACTACATCTCTTTTAAATTCTACCTCTTAGACAATGGAACCCGACTGATAACTAACAATTTACATGCTGAATAGCTTTGAATTGGACCCAAGATCTTCATGCTACGAGGCCATGCCCATTACCACAGTTTGTAAAAACGACAGACACTTCACTTGGCTTTAAAAAATTTAGGCTTTCGAACCAGTTTCAAGTTTTGTTGTGCTCACGATTTCAACGTGGCTTAGTAGTGCTCAGATAGCTTAATTCGACTGAAGTCTTATTGCAAAGAAGGAAAAGCTGAACATGAGTGTTATGCTACTTAGAACTACCTATTCATACTCACGCAGCCTAGCACAGGCCTAAATGGAGATTTGATTTTTTAGATTTATTGATGAATATTATTATTGTTATTATATTATTGTTCCCTTGGATTCCTAGTGGAACATAGGGCTTCAACCGCACGTCTCCACTTGCTTCTGTCTTCTGCTGTACTTTATACCTGCATCCATGTTAGTCCATACTGTTTCAACTCCTCTTCACACGATCTCCTCCATATCACCCTTGCACTGACGTCCGATGTCACCTAGCGGCCTCCTCAGCGAGTGTTCAGCCCATCTCCACTTTCTCCTGCATATTTGTTGGGCGATTAGTTCTTGTTTTGTTTGTTCCCATAGTTTCTTGTTGGTGATTCTTTCCGGTCCGGCCATCTGATCTTCAGTATAGAGCGAAGACAGTTGTTGATTAAAGTCTGCAACAGGCTGTTGGAAACATTCTTCGTGACTCGCTCGATTTGACATCCTCGTCCGTTCCGACTTCCTATAGTTGAGACAATGCTCCCTAGATAAGTGAATGAAGTGACCTCTTTCAAATCCCTCCTGTTGATGGTGATTGACGCTGGATTTTGCTGCTGTTGTTGTCTTGTCTATGTTCACCTGGAGTCCTGTCTTCGCCCGCTGCTTCTTCGACCAGTTTGTTGGTTTTCGCTTGTAAGTCTTCGACATCAAACATAAATCATCCACGCGTAAAATCCAGGTCTTCTAGGTTCTTCACGTCGGTCCAGGATATCCCTGTCTTCCCGTTTCCCACTGTCTGATGCATAATCCAGTCCGCCACAATTAGGAATATCATCGTGGGTGATAATAACAACCCTTGTCTGACTCCTGTGTTTATTCCAAACGCCTCGCTGAGTTTTCCGTTGTGGATGACTTGACATGTGGTGTTGTCGTACAGCTGTTGAATAAGGTTGATGAATATTTGGGGTACGCCGTAGTACTCGAGTAGTTTCCAAATTACTTCGCGGTCAACGCTGTCTGTCGAAGGCCTTCTCAAAGTCTATAAAGTTGAAGTAGAGGTTTGATTGGCATTCCATCCTTTGTTCGATGGAATGGCTTTGTTTAACTCTAATCTTCCAAGATTGGACTTAGTTGAGTAACTGATTTCGCGTATGCAGACAATCTAAGGATAGATGCAAAAGGAGCATTCAGTATTTGCTAACTTGCTCTACCTTTTGTGTCTGCCATTTATCCAACTAACTATGCTGCTTAGTAACTACATGCATGTTATTAGGATTTAGCAGCGAATCATACTTATTGTATGAGCGCAGTTAATACAATCTGGTTGTTTTTAAAATCAAACTCCATTCGCATAACCTTTATAGCTAAGTGATACATATCCGAAACTAAAAGAAGTGCATTGCTGAGATAATAATAATGAATACAATGCATGGAGATGTATTCATTGGTTAAGCTTATGCACACTTCTATTGTACACGTATTCTGCACAACAATGACAATCCAGAGAAGTTATTCATTTAAGACCAATAATCTCAGTCTTTGTTTGCATTCCTGTCGATCATAAAAAAGAATACTTAAGTTACATGATTTCTAATTAAGACTAAACGTGATTCAGAAATGCCTACGAAAAACTAACCAGTTATTTGCACTAGTAAAATACTAACTTCACGAAACTGAGATTAGAACTAAGTAGAAAAGCTGTTTTATACATCACAGGTGGAAAAAGAAAACCATAACCTACTTTATTAAGTAACGAAAATCTTCTTCGCAATCAGGATCACCAAAGTCACTTATCCAAGCATGACCAATAGTAAATTTGTGGAATCTAACCAGATCGCAAACAGGAACTTGGGCAATAGCAGCACCGAATAAATCTGGTCTTTGATTGCAGCAAGCAGACACCAGGAGGCCTCCATTACTTCCACCTTGAATATATAATCTGGAATATGAAATAAATTATTTCTTTTCTGAATGACTCCGACAAATTAATGATCACAAAAAGGCTGAAACTGAGTTAATGGCATACGTAGAATAGCAGAGACTATAAATATTCCTCAACTGAAATAAAACATCACCAAAAAAAAGTGAAACGGAACACACAGAAACGAAAGTTGGTGTTCCAACCAGCTTAGGAAATAAGTTAACTACTCTATAGTGAAATCACCTTTGCAGCAATATGACTATCAATATCCTCTCATGATGTTTTATCTAGGCTTGCTATTTTTACTGTAAACAAACCCTCTCTTTGTAGGGCTTTGTATACCAACATAATATGCAGTCCTCTCGATTACGTAAACGCTTTCTCTTTTCAAATAATACATCAACAGAAAATCTCTAGCAAAAATACGTCAACTGAAGTTCAGAAAGCATTTCCAGCACCTCAGTATATCCCTGGATTATGCGAGAAATAAATAATAGGACTGGCGTTGAATAATATTACCAGTTGCTGAGCCAACAAACAATGCTCAAAACAAGGTATCTGATAGCTATTTTTTCTATCCGTTACCAACACGACTGGGTAAAAAAGTGGTTGCTTGAAACTTCTGGTTTTCACAATCTAGAGTGCTCAAAATGTACACCTTTAGGAAATAACACTTTTCATACTTTCTCAACTACATACCTGAAACAAATACATAGGCGGAGCCTGAACCCTTGAAGAATCATCATATATATATATATATATATCATGGGTAAGATAGTACACTTACTTTTGGTTATTTGTGTACTTCTCTCTAATGAGATATTCAGCTGCTGACTGGAAGTCATCAAATGAATTCTGTTTATTTCGTCGACGTCCAGCATCATGCCAAGGCTTACCATACTCTCTAGTAATAAACACAAAAAATACAAAATGAATGAATACGAACGATATGAACAGACAAAATAAAGAAAGCATTACAGAAAGCCTGACCATACAAGCATATGAACAGACTGTAGCTTTTATATGGACGATTATCATCAGAAGAGAGATACAACAACCTGAAGCTTATGCAACTCACTGTTAGCTGGAATTGTTGTAATCAAAAGGACAATAATAATGAAGTGAAAATAATATAAATAGCCTACAATATTGTTGAGAAAAACTTAAAGCCATAATGAAACCTTTAAAAATGAGAGAAAGAATGCATTCAAGTAATTCCATTTTTATATTGTGTCACCAAATGTTTGGAAGTATGCACTTCGACTGTCAGTTGTAGTAGAAGACCCAAAACGTGGCTAATCTGCTGAATATGTTGTATCTATCTACTTAAGCTGTCTAGTTTTATGCTTCATCAACTTACAATTGCAATAGATCTATGCTACGCATTTTTTTTTTACTTGTTGTATACTAATCCTGTATACTTATCGCCCTTATCCTCGTCCGTTACTTCTATCGTCGAATGATTTTGGGCATGGAGGGAAGGGAGCTTTTTGTGGCCATCTCCCCTGACAATAGAGCGACATTGTCGCATTGGACTATAGTATTCACTGAGTGTTATTTTATTACTTATTTGTTGTTGTTTTTTAAATTTTTATATAGCTTGACTCCATACCGTATTTTTGGTACAAGTATGGAACTTTCAGCATGTGATATCGGTAGCCCAAATTTTGCAGGCCGACCAATCGATATCGGGTGCGCGTCGGCAGGGGATCGAACCCTGGATCATTTGCATGATCGGCGAGAGTCCTAACCACTGTGCAACCGACGCACAGGTCAATAGCACTTGTTAACATCCTTATTAACTCCGTATTATTATCACAGAAGATGATAGTCTTATTCATATTTTAGCTGTATTTTACTTGCGATATCATATAGAAAAATAAGCCAAGTTCACCTCGGTAATTTTTTATATCTCATGACACATAGATATAGGTCCAACTGGCTATCTAGTCATCTGTAACCCATATCAATCTATGTCAACCATAAACTGATGTCTGATGCAGTTATTGTTTTTTTAAGGTCAGTGATGTCATTGTTATGTTGAACAAGAAATCAATGTAGATCAGTTTTGAATAACTTTTACTGTGCAATTCACAGTTTTCATATTGTAGTCAAACATTTACAGATCGAATTTGTAGATATTCTCATGGCTTACTTGTCCTGTTTGTTTAAGTTTCTATATATAAAGCTCATTTGAGTCAATGTACTGTTCTCTTGAAAGTGACATAGATTGATTCCCTTTCTTCTTTCTCTTCTTTTCGAATGAACATTTTAATAATCGATTTTTTAAAGTTTATGCTTCAGTCAGCTTACATTCCTGTACATAGTTGATGGGACAAAACGGTGTTACACTTCACACCATTTGTAATCCATGGCACACAATGGGTAACTTATCTTGCATCTGTCATTTATCGTAAGTTTTTTTTATGTAGTTGTGTTCTCTGAGCTGGATGATTCATTCATACTTCATTTCAAATTGAAGTATGCGCTGAAGATGTTGCCTAGTAAGGTAATGAAAGCTTCACAAATAAATCTTCCAGCTCAGAGAACACAACTTTATCAGAATCATCCACCTGAGCTACAAATCTTCCCCATTATATCTAAACTATGAGTTCTTCTAAGCATTCACTATTTTCAATCTCACTTTATTGTCTTTCGCTTGAATCTGATAGCTTCATAAATAATGTGAAAGTCTACATGTCTGTCGCTTGCTTCTTCCGCTAAATCCCGTGTTTCCATAAGATTTGCTTATCATTTGGGAATCCGTGTGTATAAAGGTCTTGAAATTCTCAATGTTGTTTGACCGAAATGCAATGAGAGATAAGTGACTTCAGGTCAGGACGATTTCAAGCCGTTAATTACTTATGCGTAGTTTGTGAGATAGAAAAGCCTGATTATGCAACACCGTGACTGCTATATTTCTTGCATATGATTTCCTAAGTTTCATTTAGTCTTTGACCAAGATTTTTAAAAATCCAATGGTTCATGAATTCTAGCTTCTGTCAATTGGCGATTTTAGCGCAACCACCGGCCAGTATCATTGGCGAGTATTCCTTCTTACAACCAGCGCAGTAGAACCCATTTGTTACGTCTTCCCACTAGAACTTCAAGCAAATTCATCATGTATTCACTCACTATTGCGCTAGTTTGCAGGGATCGGTTTTGTTTGAAGTTCGATACTCGTCAATCACATTGGCTGGCAGTCGCGCTAAAATCAGGAATTAACAGACATTAGAGTTAGTAAGCCCTTGGGTTCGAGCCTAAGGTACTGAATGGTCAACGAGATTGGCCGAGTAACTTTAACGTCTTAGGTTCGATTTGTGCCGAAATTGAGTAGGCGAAAAGTGGATCAGGTATCGTTGACATATTCTGCTCATCATCGGTATTAAGCTCACATATCGATTGTTTAGAAAAAATACCACAAAATCAAGAGTATAATCAAAATAATTTCATGATATAACGAACCCTCCACCGCGTATATTGGCCACAGAGACAATACCACCAAAGTGTAGCAAAAATAAAAGTCGGGCTACAGAGAAAGACGGAGTAATAGATATATTAAATCCACCATAGCCATAAAGCTGACATGGTGTCGACCCATCTCGATGAAAGTTCTGAAAGAAAATAATAGTAGATAACATAAGAACACCATATCAAAGGAAATCTTCTACAATGGTGACAATACAAATATAACACATCTAAAGCTGGATCATAAAGCTTTTCAAAGCGATATGGCTAACACAAAGCGTATTCAGAGACTGTACATGCAGATTATATGGCGCGTAGTATAATTAAATACAGATGAACATTTGATTCCTAAGCAGCGGTGTTCTCACACACATGAAGGAATGCTTCAACGTTGAGGAAAGAGAAGTGAACTTGTTTGACAATTGTTTCAGCAGTTCGATTTTAATGTGGAAACGACTTGCAACCGACATTTAAGTAGGCATCACTATTATTATTATTATATCCTTTAATTCCTAGAGGAACATAGGGCTTCAGCCGCGCGTCTCCATTGCCTTCTGTTTTCTGCCAACTTTTTCACCCCGCTCCAAGTCAGCCCACATGCCTTCATCTCCTCTTCACATGACCTACTCCAAGTCACCCTTGCACTGAAAACCAACTTGCTGCTTCCCTTTCGGGTTACACTCGAGCGATGGCTTGTCTAGTGATGTGACTTGATGGTTTCCTCAAAGTATGGCCAATCCATCTGCATTTCTTCCCGCCTATTTGTTTCACAATCGGTTCCCGGTTGGTTCGCTCATTGCCAGAGATCCCTGCTGCTGATCTTTTCTGGCCAGCCGGCCATCTGATCTTGAGTATTGAGCGAAGGTAACTGTTAATGAAGGTCTGTAGTTTGTTTGAGATGTTCTTTATGACGCGCAGTGCAAGTCTCTGATCCGTATAGTAGCACTGACTTCTTATTGGAGTTGAAAATCCGGATCTTATTTTTGATGCTGAGTGATGTTGACTTCCACACAGACTTAAGAGTAATGAAAGCTTGTCTTGCTTTTCCGATTCTTGCTTTGATAGCCTCGTCAGTTCCGCCCGCATGTAGTTGAAACGATGCTTCCCAGGTAGGTGGGTAAAGGAGGTTGTTTCTTTCAGGTTCCTCCCATTTATGCTGGCTGATTGTTGTCTGTTGTTGTTCGCCAGGAATCTTCATCACCTCTGTTTTATCTATGTTCACTTGAAGTCCTATCGTTGATGCTTCTTCTGCCAACTTGTTGCTTTTCACTTGCATATCTTCCAGTTTGTGGGAAATCAGACATATATCATCGGTGAAGTCCAGATCCTCCAAGTTCTTTGTGTGAGTCCATTTTATGCCTGTTTCCTCATTGCCCACTGTCTGTCACATTATCCAATCTACTGCAATCAGGAAAATCATTGGCGATAGTAGACAGCCAGCTTGTCTCACTCCCGTCCTCACTTCGAAGGCTTCCGTAAGTTTCCCGTTGTGGATTACTTGGCATGCAGCATTGTCGTATAACTGTTGGATGAGATGTATAATTGTCGATGGGACCCCGTAGTAGCGAAGTAGTTTCCAAATGACACCTCGATCGACGCTGCACTATCGAAGGCCTTTTCAAAGTCGATGAAGTTGAGATAGAGAGGTGACTGCCATTCCAAGCTTTGTTCAATGATGATCCGTAGAGTGGCGATTTGATCAATACATGATTTGTTTCTCCTGAATCCGGCCTGTTCCGGTCGAAGTTTTTCATCTAGGGCTTGTTTGATTCTCTCCAGGATGATGCGGCTTAGTATTTTGCTTGGGATGGACAGGAGCATAATTCCGCGCCAGTTTTTACATTGACTTAAGTCTCCTTTCTTTGGTAATTTGAATAAGTATCCTTTCTTCCAATCCTCAGGTACTTTGCCCTCTTTCCACACCTTCTCCAGAAATGGCGTCATCAAGTCCGCTGTTGTCTCTGGGTCTATTTTCAAAGCTTCTGCTGGGATTCCATCTGGTCCTGCTGCTTTCCCAGCTTTTAGCATCTTGATTGCATTCAGGACTTCTGATTTCGTCGGGGGTCGATGTTCACTGGTAGTTCTGCTTCCGTTGTTGGTATTGTTGGACGCGTTGTAGGTGGCGGACGATTTAGAAGTCTTTTGAAGTGTTCAGCCCAGTGTTTTCTTTGCTCCACCTCTTTGGTGATTGACTTTCCATTGTCATCCTTTACTGGCTTAATCTGTGTCGAACTTTTGCCCGATAGGTGCCTAGTTGTTTGGTAGAGTGTGGCGAGGTCTCCTTTGCCTGCAGCTTGTTCTGCTTCACTTGCCATGGCTTCATAATATTTTCTTTTGTCTTCCCTGGCACTCTTCTTCACTCTTTTGTTCAGCGTATTGTAGCTTGCATTCAACTCCTGTTTTTGTTGCTCGTCGGTGCACTGGATAATCTTTTGTTTCACTGTCCTTCTCTCTTCTATTAGTTTCCAAGTGTCCGTAGTGAGCCACTGTTTGTCCTGTCTCTTCTTTCTGCCTGGAACTTCCATGCAGGTTTGACTCCACACCGTTTTCAAGTTGTTCCAGTGCTTTTCGAAGCCGACCTCTTCGCTAGTGTTGATTTGTGTCTCGGCTTTTTCCCTTATGTTTGCAATGAAGATGTCCTTTGTATCTTGGTCCTTCAGTTTTTGAGTGTTGAACTTGGCTTGTGGTCTATCTGCAGCTTCTGTTCCCCTGAAAGCTTTTAAATTGATTTGGATTATCCCTTGTACGAGATAGTGGTATGAGCCAACGTCTGCTCCTCTTCTTACTTTTGTGTCCAGTAGGCTGCGCCTCCACTTCCTTGAGATTGAGATGAAGTCAATTTGGTTTTTGGTTCTTCCATCTGGTGACACCCATGTAGCCTTGTGGATATCTTTGTGTTTGTATACGCTGCCACCAATCACTAGTTCGTTGAAGGCACAGAAGTCGGCGAAGAGTTCTCCATTTTCATTCATTTCTCCGAGAGCTTCTCTACCCATGATGTGTTCCCTTCCTGTGTTGTCTGGTCCCAGTTTGGCGTTCATGTCTCCCTTCAGTATTTTAATGTCACCAGCTGGAGTATTGTCCATTATTGCCTGTAGTTGTCTGTTATAGAAAACATCTTTCAGAAAGTGGTTAGCATAATTTCGTTTAATTAACTTCAAACTTCTGATGTATGCTATTACTCGTTATCCCCAGCTAACCTTGGTATGCTATATAAAGTCTAGCGAATTGAACTTGTGTACTTTTGTGCAGAATCCGCAATCAGCATGCACAGGCTAATGTCCTCAGCTTCCGTACAAATTTATTGGCTAAATGTTAAAAAAGAATCACGTGAATTGCATTTATTTTTGTTAGGGCGATAATGTTTTCAAAGGTGTGCAGTGATAAGTGATTACACTGAGGAAATGCATTCAACTGATGACAGTAGAGAATTTCAACTCACTTTAGGTAAAACAAGGAACATAGGAATATTTGTATTGTCTTTACTCTTGTAGAATACTTGTTTCACTTCAAACTGATCTAAGTTCACATCTCGAACTTTTGATTCACGAATAACCTGTCAGTAAATAAAAAGAATATTAAGAAATAAACCTACACTCATAGCTACACTGAACAATATGTATGTATCATGTAATCTGTGTGGACTGGTCTCAATACTAAAGGCTTTATAAGCCATTGTCTTAAGGGTATAAAGCAATGAGTAAATTTTGTTTTGATAAAATCTCACAGTGTTGTACATTCATGTTTACTGATGACGTTTCGAGGACAATTTATTGCTCATAATCATATCAAGGTAATCACACGACATCCTAACTTCATTTATATAGTTCCACGATTTTTCACTTGATTTGATTGATAGTAGTATTTTCCATATTTCAGGTATGAGTGATGAATCATTCCTATTGGATGTGTTGGGTGTAGACTCGATGAACAAGGATTCAGTAATCAACGCCTCTCTCCACCTACCTAGATTACTTTTTAGAATTTTAACCCTCTCCTACCCTTTTGTGTGGTTGTGTGTTAATGCATGCATTGCAATTGCTGAGCTTTTTTCTAAATTACTTATCTTCTCGGGGTCAACCATTGTCACCTTAACTAAATTCTTATGTTCCGACAATCTGACTATCCCCGACCTACTAGTTTGACCTATGTAGTTGACTTAGCTCACAGTCATTGCAGGGTATTTTGTAAATTATATTATTTTGTCTAATTGGGTCAACTGGGTCCTTTAACCTACAGAGCTTGTCCCTGAGTGAGTTTGTAGGTTTAAAAGTCACCTTAATTCCCGCTTTATTTAGAATCCTACATAGGGTCTCAGATGTCCCCTCTTTATATGGTATAACTGTAGATGACTTATATTCTCTATTATTCATGTTATTATTACTAGTTTCACAATTATTTTTGTTTTTCTTTTAGCCTTTTTCCATCTTCCTAATGAATTTTAAAGGATAGTTATTTAACACCAACGTCATCAGTGAACATTACTGTATAACACTGTGAGACTTTATCAAAACAAAATTTACCCATAATGGAATTACACTACCACAGTGCACAAGTTTTATTCTTATATCAATGATATAAAACAATGATTTGACTCTAATCCCTCTGCAATTTTTACTACTGAATGAATACACGGAAATGTGTAATTAATTAGTATATAACAAATATTTCGGAAATGTCCTTGATATGATTATGATGAATAGATTGTGTTTGAAACATCATCAGTAAATAATACTGCATAATCATGTATTTTATCAATTAAAATTATTCCATAGTGGAACACATAAAAGCATGGCAATAAGTGCACAATCTCATTTAGAATTTGTTGTACATTTTTGGAACTATCAAATTTCAAATACTAACTACAGTGGAATGTCTTTTAAAGCCACGAACAGCATTATTCGAGCAGGAATTGATAACTTTGACAAATGAAGCATTTAGTAGAGTTTCAGATGAAAGCGAAAAGTCTGTATCGTTTCTCAGTGAGGACAGTATTCAGTGCCATTTCCGAAAAGAGGATACTTTTCCCAAATAACAGTACTATTGATATAAGTGTAAAACTTGAGCACTGTGGTAGAGTATAACTCCATTACGGATAAGATTTTGTTTTGATAAATCACATAGTGTTGTGCAGTAATATTAACTGATAACGTTTCGAACACAAATTATTGCTCATAATCATATCAAGTTACTCACATCAGTCATCAGTTAATATTATTGTACAACATTGAGTGGTTTGTGCATCGGTGGCGCAGCGGAAGAATGCTCACCGACCACTCATGTGGTCCGAGGTTCGATCCCCAGTCGATGCACTCCTTTATCTCGGTAAGCCAGTAATAAGCCTGGTTAAGAGGGGAAGTTGGGCATAAGGCTAGCAACCCCATCCCGTAAAAATAAACACCACCAATACCAGAACTTCAAGCCTGTAGCTTGAAGCCCTATGTTCCACTGGGAATGTAGAGGAATAAAGAAATATTTTATTAATACAAAATGAAAAATATGTAAATATAATCTACACAGAAATATCACTACAAAGGAACAAAAAAGGTATAAGGTATTTTAATCATGAAAGCAATTGACGGTAACTGGGTTTAGTCCTTAACACGAGAGAATTAACTACGATGTTCACAAAAACTTTACCATAATCCAAATTTTCAATTATTGCCTTGCAGGGATTTCAATGGCTACACATTTAATCATGAGCTGGGAACCACTGGAAAACCAGGATTTAGTGGGCAGTTGTTTCGTCCTAGTTTGAGACCCCTTACCAACACGCATTCATTGGGATTCGAATCCAAGATCTTCTGGTTACAAGGCAAGTTGGTAGACCATTTTGGAATCTGGGACTCAATCCCATGGTACATTAATCTGACCTGCTGAGAATTCGCGATATGTAGTGCAACTGCAACCTTTTTGACATTGATAAAAGTTGAATTATGAAATCAGAAGTCTACAGTTTGTGTTTCTGATGGCCTATTTTCAAAGAAATCCTTAAGAAATCCATAATTATTTTCTTTACTTAATCTGATAGCTTTATAACTGGGGCAAGAAGATGCAGCAGCACTAATCATTCCGTGTTTGTCTTAAATGATTTGTAATTCACTGTCAATTGTATTCTATTGTCCAATGAATTTCAATGATGACTATGCGCAAACTTAACACCTAGAATGAAACACATTTCAACCTATCATTATTCTAAGCATAAGTTTCTTAATAAGGCTGGAATCAGGGTGACATTTAAGCCAACCAACTCTCTCAATGGTGAACTTTATCGGCTTAAGGACTTTTGGGGGCTAGCTGTGAGGACAATGAGAAATTACAATACAACTGGTAGGAGAAACTGATATCCATATGATATGACGAGGTTGATTCATTTTTAAATACCTACTACACAATTTTCAAACAGACAGATCAAACTTAAATGGCTAGGAAAAATCTCAAGCTAGTATATCTTTAGTTCCTTGTAGGATTGAAAAAGAAAACATTATACCACAAACTGCATCAAATATTTCCGGTGTATGGAACGGATATGTATGCACATATATGCGTGCGTCGGTGGTGGTTAAGTGGTACAGTGCTCGCCAACCATCCGCCTAGTCTGAATTCGGCATCCAGCCAACGGACTCCAAAACCTTACTTAGCCGACAGTAAGCCCAGTAAAAAGACGAAAGGTTGGGCGTGAGACTAGCTACTCCGCGCTGTTAAAAAAAATAATAATAAGCATCACTGCTATTGAAACTACAAAGCTGAAGCTTCAATCCACTCGGATTGCAGAGAAATAAAATAAATGGCAAATAATATACATGTGTATGCAAATCATAAATGGGACAATCGAGAAACTTTACTACCTACCTGTAACTTTGGATGCGACTGCAAAAAATCATAGGCATAGATTATTCCAGGTGTGAGGAAAGATGTGAAGTGAATAAAAGCCTATGTTGAAGAGAGAGAGAGAGAAAAAAGGAGAAGTAATTTTTGTCTTAATCAATGGATAGATCACTACGCACCTCATTATCACGTTTTCTTCCGGAAACATTAGCCACATATCCAACGGGTATATCGATATCCAATATTTTCTCCCCTGTTAGAAGTTTGTGTACTGACAAACAGCTCTGAAAACAAAAGTATTACAGTATTATTTGTTGGAGATAAAAACGGTTCTACAGTATTTACAGAAAATTCAAAATATTTGCTAAAATGAACCCTTATAAATTATTTAAATTAATCCCAACGTGTCTAAGAAAGAATTAAAACAAGATTTTTCCGAACGTTTCGCTGTGTAAATCACAGTTTCTTCAGCAGAATTATTCGGATTTAATTAATCATCAAAATAGGTAGTCAAACATTTTTCACAGAAATTAAAGGTCACTTGTCCATAGACATTTGTACCTAAAATAAACCTTGTTGAACAATGCCGCATGAAATATTTAAGCAATACCACTGATACAAGTAGAATAAATATGATGAATGCTCTTGACTATGCTGAGAATTCAATAAAAAACGAAACATCCAACCACTAGGAGGTAGTATATTTTTTATGAGATTTAGAATTCTGGTTCCGTTTATTACTAATTAGCAAAACGGTCATCTAGCATTATTAATATTTCAATTAGAAATATACATCGGGAAGTTAATAACACCCACTCATCTCAGCAATTATGTAAGATTGTCAAATGTGCGGTTGCAGGGATTAGATTGGTTACAGGTTTGGCATAGCGGTTAGGACGCTCGCCAACCATGCACATGGTCCGGGGCTCGATTCCCGGCCGGCGCATTCCTTTTCCTCACTCAGCCAGGAGTAAAAGTTGGTGAAGAGGGAAGGTTGGGCATGAGGCTAGACACCCCATCCTGTAAAAATAAACTTTGCTACAGAAACTTCAAGCTGACTCTAGCTTGAAGTCCTATGTTCCACTGGGAACATGAAGGAAAAAAACAGGTTTGACCATGAGCTGAAGAGTCCCAGACTAGGACTAAACAGTTATCCAGTACTCCCTCGTTTTCCATTGGTTCTCTAACTGATGTCAGCTCGTGTTCAAACTTATAATTATGCATAGGCCAGTGTACTACATTATGAGCAAAACATTGCCATGAAAAATGATAATATTATACCGCTATCAAAATAGGCAGGAAAGAGTTTGAGTCGGTTGAAAGTCGAATGGGCAACCAGCACCCAGTACTTGAATCAATGGAAATAAAGATGCAAATAATACTTGAAGAACTATTCACTTGGTTTTGGAAAACACTTAAAATAATTTCCATACAATTCCAAACTAGGTGTGATGAGAATAGAACGAATAGAAAACCCTGAACATAAACACTATGCACTTTTTGACAGCCATAGACGCAGTGTACTTGCAACCATGTTTTCTATGCGATTCGAAGCTGACACAGAGACGTGTCTGATGCAGTTGAATTCACAGGAAACACAATCAGACTTTTTCATTTGCCGTAGGGACTGTAACATTTGTTCAGCAAACATATTAACGATAAAGCATCCCACTTTGAGTATTATGCCATCAATGCTATTGTTCTACAACACTGTAATGGGCTGTGAATCACTACACCACTACATTGACAGTGTCTGTAGTTGTTAGAACAAGAAAAATACGGGAAAGTATAGACCCTGGAGGAAGCATAACACAGAAGATTTCGTATGAAGCTGCTTTATGCGACATACAACGATAAGGTTAAAGTTTAAAGATAGTGAGAAGTTCACTAACGCTCAGACCGATAATGTTAGAATATAAGTTGATTGTGTGTAACGAAAAAAAAAACAACAACTGACAAACCAATGTCCTAGATTTTCCAAAATAATAATTTAATTCTAGTCAGAATTTCCAATTTCCAATAAGGAAATACCATCTTTTATTCATAAACGGTTTAATAAATAGGTACGAATTTCTAAATAAGAATAGTTTTAATATTAATTAAAAAGAACTGATATCCTCACAGTTTCATTAAAAGGTGTTTAAACTCGAGTCATAACACCAACAACAAGTCAACATCAACAGCCACAAGAAAACTCATCCTACCATATATAAAAAATATCTCCGAAATAAAAGCTAAAATATAAAGACTGTTTGAAATGGATATAGTACACAAGTCAGAACAATCACTTCAGTCGATGTTGTGCAAGACCAAAAGATCCAACAGAAAAAGAACATAAAATTAAGGCGATATACAAAATAAACAGTATGAACTGTAATAACCATTATATCGGTTAAAGTGGGCGTCCCGTTCAAATCCGAATCCAAGAACATAAATTTGCTTTAAAATGACATGATATATATTCTTTCGTATCAATGCATGTAGATAATTATGAACACTAATTTGTTTGGGATAATGTAGAAATTTTAAGTAGAGGAGACGCTGAAAATGTTAGGGAACTTCTAGAAGCCCAGTACTGAAGTGAATTAACAATTAGTAAGCACATTATTATAAACCGAATTTACCAGCTAATAAAAAGTAAATCGAATGACAAGAAAGTCTGAGTTCCAAGTCAATAAAAAGGATCAGTAGAGACGTAAATCAACAGCTAGTCACGAAAATTTCCCAGGGGATACAATTAAATCATTCGTGGAGAATTTAAATACGTCTATTTTATACTAAAACCTGCGTTGAAGGGGGGTGGATGTTGTCTAGAAGGACGACGAAAGCTCTGTAATTAAATCAACCAGTTCAGAGAACACAACTAATTCAATAATTCATACCGTAGAAAAGAGTTTCAAAATGCCACTGCTAATATAACGCGTATATATGTACATAGATATGGTTATATGATATTGTACTGACCTTTACATCTTTTAAGTGGCAAACTATCAACTTGTCTTTGTTTACACACACTGCATTTTCCAGTAGGGATCCTGAATTGTGAGGTATGACATCTTCCCAATATTTCTATAACAAACAATAAAAAGTATCGTTGCAGTGATTAACAAAAAGGGGGAAAAATGAATGTAACACACAATGTAATGTAGAAGACATTGTCTCAAAACAAGAAATATTCACACACGAATACAATCCATGCGCTCATTCATACACATGACACAATTGAGGTGATACACTCAATAATAATTGAGGCGAATAAAGCTAATAACCACTTGTCGTAAAAGCTATAAATCACAAGAACTCTTTTAATTATTTCTTAGAATACATGATAAGCTTAATTACAACTTCCCTTCCATATACAGATTTTCATAATAAAAACAAACATCATGACAACATCTTTGTATTTAAAAAGGACAAGAGAATTATAACTATGGGGAGTTGATTAGTTGAGACAGTCCGAGTATAGACAAGTGCAGGGGAACTAAAGATGCATTCTGTTTTACCAAGCCTACTCTTCGAAAAAATCTCATGAGTAAGGCGTTATTATTTAAACGCGCATAACACAATAGTAACACTAATACATTGGCCATTGCATTTATTTTATTTACTTATTTTACTGTGGTCTATACTTGGGTACACTGATATATACATATTTTCAAAAAGATGACTGAGTATCCACTCAGAATCAAGCACAGAAGTGCAGCAGTTCAAGTTGCCATATTCCTATTTAGCATATTAAGGTAGAAAAATAGATTCAAAAGAGTTATAATGCGTAGAAATGCAAGGGAGGAACAATTGTAACATGAAAAAACCCCAGGGTTTAATGGGTATGGGAGATCTAAAACAGTGAATATATCTGTGCCACTGAGAACAAATTAGAAACATACTACCATTGTTTTCGAGCCAGTGAATCTTAGAATTCTAAGGAGGCTAACCAGGCAGCCTAAACCTTGCTACACGGCTCAAGCTAATTGTCGGAGATTTTATGGACTGATGCCAGGTTTTGGTTTGACCGCCTATAACTATTTTCCAACTTGATTCGACATCGGTTAACGTTGCCCACAGAGAAAGGCGACGGTTCAGGAAGTTGAATAAATGAGATAATACTGTGAAAGATGCTGAAGGTGATTATGGTATTTCATCAAGATTACTAACTTAATAATGGTGTGGTGAGAGCTGGCTGCAAGCCAAAATTGTAGATAGTAATTTACGTCAGTTTTACGTCCTAAATGGGGGTCATGAGAAAAACAATAACAAAGCTTAACCTTGAGGAACTCACCAACCAATCATAGCAGGCTTAACGCGTGCAAATATGGTTCGCAAACATATGGCTTAACTTTCTGAGAAGTGGTCACGAGCAGTACAGAATAACCTTAAGCAAGAAAACAACCAGTCGAAAGACACTGCTTCTCCGCTGACAATAATGTACATAAAAATCTATAAATATCTGTTGATTTTCTCAATAAACAATCTGTTGCTTAATCCTTATCTTCTGTCGTTACAATGAGAGCTGTTAAGCTTTTCTTTAAAGTCGACCGATGATAGATTCAACAACGGGAAGTATGTAGAGACATGAAAGCACCGAAATGGTATAGAAAAACATACTGAACATAGAGTAAGCAATATCATAATCATGGATGGCTAAACTTACACGATCAAGATTGGCAAAATTGATTCTGATGATTTTGTACATTGGAGCATCTAAGTTAGTACGGAATACGAATGAATCGCCTTCGTTTGTCACATATTCGTAAACAGCTTCGAAGTGATCCACAACAGGAATCAAATTAAGCTTTTCTTTAAAAATACAAAGTGAAAAATTCACTTAGTTTATACTAGTGGATAGATTAGCAGTTATAACTTCGGCTATTAATTTAACAACCACTAGAACTGTTTCATTCACATGGTTCCATTACCATAGATGGCCGAGAAGTTGTAACTAAATGACATGGTAAATACCTTGAATTGTGTATTTCCTCTGATCTTCCTTAATCTCCTCCCATGTTGTTAGTTTCTGTTTCGTTTAGCTTTCCACGTAAACAAGTTAAGACAATCTGGTATTACTCAGTGTTTCTACTTTCTAAGTTAGTTAATTATTGTATCCCACTTATCCTTCTTTACTCCTCTCCTTATTCTTTCCTGGACTACCTAAGAAAGATTTTATTACACTGTGAAGGGTACTAAAAGCTGATAGTAGGGTGAATGGGATGTCGTTAAACCAACTCCCTAATACTGTAGTAGACAGACACTTGAATTCATACAAGAAATTAGCAAATATTATCTTGTTGGACCGTGAGCATCCTCTCTACACACAACTCACTTCATGCATCTTACTGGGTAGAACTAGAACCAACTATAGAAGACTATATATATATATGGAGGTTTACCTTTGCAACTTCATTTTAGATGAACTAATAATGAATATTGGTATTTAGCTTATAAAGGATAAGGAGTACAAGCATACATCTCAATTTTCCAACTCTAAAACTTCTGCTTTGCATTTAACGTAGAAAAAAGTTGATACAAAACCATTATGTGTCTCGACACCGAGCTGATGCACTCCGAAACCTCACTTAGTTCGCAGCAAGCTCGGTAAAGGCGGATAGTTAGGCGTGAGTCTAGTTACTCCACTATGTAAAAACACTAACATTCACTGCTACCGAAACTTCAGCGCTGGAGGAGCTTGAAGCCCTAAGAATGTAAAGGAATGAAAAATAAAAAATCTCTTGCTTTGTACATTTTCCTGGTATACTTCATGCCTCTTGTCCCTTTGTTATTCTTCACATACATTCTCCTTTGAAAAGTATTCGTGTGATTCCATTGTTTCAAATATGCTTCACAATTATACTACACAATCCAGATAAAATACGTTCCTTTATTCTTCCTCAAAATTCACAACGGTAATTAGTCATCCTAAAATTCTTAAGTCACTAAGTCAGTTGGTCTTCTATAGAAGACGTCTAGATAACTGACTGATTTGATTAACTAAACAAAGTAGGATTTTATGCAAGAGTGAGTCAGTTCAAGTTAACACATTTCGGAAGAGTATGCATAAAAATAATGAAATCACAATCGACTAAGATCTGTCCACTTCAGTGGGTATACACTGTCTTTTGAATTTAATACGCCCAGAAGTGAACACAGTATCCAGAAGCGTCATGGTAGTCATGGTAATAATTAAGCAACTTGATCTCAATAATCGTGTTACCATTCACTTAAAATTACATCTGCACAGTGCATTGAAATCAAATGTCCAAAACATTAAGAACTCTTGAATCCTTTACAGAATTCCTAAAATACACTAAGCCAAACATACACTAAGTAAAATAAATAAGTCATATAATTAGGCGTGTTTCTCGTCGGATTTCGGAACATCAACCTATGTGGTTAAGTAAAGGACAATCAAAATCTATTTGTAGAGCTATTCTATCTCATCTTGTGGATACAGAATACAAGACTGATGTTAAACAGGCGTTCAGAGTCATTTACCGCATGCCAACAAATCTTAATTTCGCCTTAGGAGTTCGATTACTAAATATTGCAGAGGTTGGCCGTTGGGATCCACATTAAGAGGCCTAATTTATGCGTCCAAAAGAAGCTAGTTCAGACATTATCCTTACATTGGCCATCTAGGTTCCAATGATCCTAATTTTTTTGTAGAAATTTCCTTACTTTCAGTTGATATTCTGTTTGCTATTATATTTTTATTATTATTATTTAACTATCTTTAATGGACTGTAATTCCATTGATTTTATTTAACGACCCAATATTATTTAGAAAACACCAATATTGTTATTGACTATTATTCTAGAATAGTCTATGGATATAAACTTATATATAACTGTAGAGCCAGAAGAGGAAATTATTGAAAAGGATATTCTTTGCTCAATTATTTTGTGTTTTATAGATGTCTGAATGAATATTTCCGCTATATTGAAATAAATAATTGTTTTACGTCATTCCCCATCACAGAATCATGTGACCTAGAGAAACAGACTAAATTAATGTACTGTTGATTTACATGAAACGGCTTCAAAGTAACCCACCTGTGGTGTTCCAATCAATATTTCCAAGATCGCAATAGAAAAGTTGGTTGTTAGGTTCGCAACCATCATACAAAGTGACCATTAGATAACGTCCACAATCAGAAACCTCTCCTTGACTAAAATTCAGAAGAAAGCACATTTTGAAGTCTAACGGGAAAAATAAAATTAAATGACGTACTGAAATTTTATTTGACATTTTATCGGTGCAATTGTCATAGAAACATTGTTTATTTCTCCGGCGTAAATATGCTATTAGTTAAAATACAACAGAACAGTATACCATGGAATATTCTATAGGTACATCAGTGTTTATTGGTTTAAAAGGGTATAAATACAGTGAATTTACTATTAATCGATCATGAAATTTATCCTACTTCCTCTCACATTATGTATTCTTGGTCTTCAGTTGTACTCCAAGCTGCTGTAAACGCTGAGATTTTAGAAGCAAACTTATTTAAGATTGTTTATTATAAGATTATTTTTGTCTTTTTATGTCAGGACACTTTCTAAGAGACTAGGTTTTGATTAATACTCTGACTGGTATATGACGTTTTTAACAAGTAACCTTTTGATTTTTGTGGTATTTCTTAAACATATCTTTCTTCAATTAATTAAATTAGTTTTAAGTTTCACAACTCCATAAGTAAAGTCATAATCCAAAAATCAATTTTTGAAAGACTGAAACACAATTAACATTTTTGAGGGGATTGGCGCCAGAAGCCACAGTGTCATTGCTTTTTTCTGTAAATAATACTATTTTAAAACTGGCGTTTGATCAGAGTTACCAGTAGACGTGCATTTATACGTGGAGTTATGGTTCATTGACTTAGGCATTCAAGTTTCAACAAATAAGTCGCTGGTTCAAATCCCACTTCTCCTAGTAATTCAGCTTGGGAAATTGTGTAGTATCATCAGCCATCACGTAATTAGTGTGATTCATAGTCTGGAACATGAGAAATCTGTTTCGGGGAACTGAGTTCTAATAACAACTACATGCATGGATTTTCATACATTTGATAGACAGCCTCACCTATAATATGAAGACTGATGATACCACCTTGCCACCAAAACATCTGTAAGCGAAAGCGCCTACAGACTATCTACCCTGTGTTGATTTGTTTATTGTGTAGATGTTACAGTAAAACAGTATTATTTTCTGGATAATAATAATATTACTACTTCACTCCGTAATCTGTATAAATAAACAAAATAAAATGGTATTGCATTGTGCCACAATGTCCAACTTTATCTACAGTGGAGCAGCCAAATCAGTGATAACAGAACGTCAACAGCTACTACTTCCTGCTGTCTACCTCCGACCATCTAATAACGACAACACTGTGATGGTAATCCACCTAGCATGGTGGCCACATTGCAAACTGGACTGGTAGAATTGAGTCTGCACCAGACAAAGGACTAATGCATGACACCAGTGTTTAACGAAAGCATCCAATACAGTCCTAAAGGAGGTTAATCGCGAGACTGAATAACTCAGTAGTAACGTCTCTGACTAGGGCACTAGGTGACTCGGGTTCAAATCCCAGAAGAGACATGAGTCCCCTCAAGATTGCAGATAAGTTTTGTTGACGAGTGCCAACAAGCACGACACCTAGGTTTAAGGCTTCCTTCTGGTTGCTTCCAACCATCTAATAAAATTTTTATCTCCGGATTAAGTTGATGAATTCGCCTAGCCTGAAGATGCCAAAATCAAGCTCCTATAGTGAAAGGAATGTCACACACATTCGAACTATTAGCCTAGAGATAGCATATTAACATAGATTTTAAGATCAGATATTTTTCTACGGTTTTGCCCAACGAAGCTTCTCACCTAATATGCAGTTTGGATTGTCATTTCAAATAGCTGTAGGTGACAGTTCTTAGGTTTGAGTTATTAGTGCTAGTAATACAAGTCAAAGGGATTGGAAACTAAGATAAAAACATAATTTACGGTGAATAGAAGCATTTTATTATTTCTAATATGCAGTTGGTAATTTTAAATTGTATTCCCATTGTATTGATTGTATTTACCCAAGGTATCAAGGTAAAAATTGCAACTCAGCTGCTATTTCCTAACTAGTGCATTAGACTGTTAGTCAAATGTGCTGTGTGACAACTAATAATACTACCAGCCTCATAGATCTCATTCAGCAGAAAAGAATGTTAACACGCGAGAGCCAGTGGTTAAAAGTAGAATAATGATGCACTGCTCGGTGGATGAGTGTTTAGCTGACAGGTTGCATTTACAAAGACAGTAAACATGGTTACACATAAATAAAATCTGGCATACGGATACACTTTTATTTACAAATACTACTAAACATAACAATGGACCACACATTATTGAAATACTGATAAATAAAACTTTACACTCACATAGACCAAGTAGGTTGATCTGGGCGTTCAGAACACAAGATATCAGCTGATTGTGGAGTACCCAAGCGATGGTACATGAGTTTCTGGTCTGTATTCGCTGTAGTTTCAGTTCCATCAGCTTTGCCATTATGCTGAGGATACATACAGTAAAATACACCTTTTTCATCCTTTGTCCATGAAATGGAGCTGAATTTTACTTGTCGCAAAACATCTGGTAAGTCTTCCCCTGTCTCACAGTTTTTAAACTGAAAATATTCACAAACAGCATGTACTCTTACCTTAAGTTCAGACCAGTCGGAACCCCCAAAACTGATACCATAACAAAAATAGGTTCCTTCTGGTGAAAAACTGCAGTTCCTTAGAGATGTAAGACCTTCTGGGTCAACTTCGTTGAGATCTAGAAACTTCTTCGTGGGTCCCGATAGTGAAGTCATTTGGTAAAGAACACTAAAAAAATACACACTTCACTCCAGAGAAATACCTTTGATTCTGTAATCCACTGTTATGCCATATGTAGTAAAAAGAGCCATATTTTATTGGACAAGAGTATTTTTCATAATCCCAGATGGTCGTTAATCTAAAAATATTTCAGAGCAATTAACTTACCGGTCTCTAATTTTAGAAGTGTACGGACATAAACTAAGAAACTTATGTGTTATAATATTTTGATCTTTAACGAAAGCCTTGGTCTGTGAAGAGTCAGGGTCTTCCAACCATCTGTATGGGTCACGAACCTATTTGAAAACCAGAAGATCGCTTTGTTAGGTTAAAATGAAGTGATAAATAATAGTTAGAAAAAAAGTGCCTGAACTAATTTAAAAACCAAGAATGTTTGGCAAACTTTCACCTCAATATGTGTATTGTCGCATTTAGTCTGGTGTTATTTATTTGTTTGTTTTTTATTTTTGATTACAGCTTGATTCCACACTGTATTTTTGGTACAAGTATGGCATTTTCAGCGTGGATATCGGTAGCCCAAATTTCGCAGGCCGACCATAGATATCAGGTGTGCGTCGGCGTGGGCTCGAACCCCGGACCATGTGCATGGTCGGTGAGAGTCCTAACCACTGTGCCACCGACTTCATTTTGCTATATCTGCCAAAGACAACGGGGTGATAAGTGACTTCATCGTTGTGTGTTACACCCAATAAGGGTTATCACAAATCGCTTTCAACAGCCGCTCGTGGGTTGATCCCGGTATTCTTTCGAAAACATCTAGTGTGATCACAAGCTCATAGAGTCTACTAACTAAATCCTGTTCACTGATATCATGAAGCGGAGGACGTCCCACAAAGCAGAAAAGGAGACTACAAATGTTACATAGAGTTTTCGGTCGGGAATTGAAAATCCTGCACATGAGCGAATGGTAAACAAATCAAAAGATCAGTGCCAACCAGAAGAACGCAGCCTCTGATATTCATCTGTTGTTAAGGATTAAACTTTAAGCAAAGAGCTTAGGGAATGGTCTCATAAGACAACCATCTGCTTCTAGCTAGGTGTCCAGGTAGCATCTCATTCTCCATACGAAGCATAAAACGACAATTAGGCGGAAAACTCGAATGTACCCTATGCTCTTGTAACCAACTGCACCCCCTACTTTATCAATCAAATATTCAGTCATTTAATTTATTGTCATCATATTATTATTTTCATACATAACTTGTTTTACTTTGCCACTCTCACAAATGTCATTTCCATCACTTGTTCAGTAGTGTTTGAAATCTCAGTTCATCCATATCTTTTTGATTAGTTGGTTGACTGCTTTTAAAGGACCGGTCTTCATTGCGATGCCTGATAGAAACACTCTTACATCGCGTGTCACTATTAAGCTTCCAATGTACCACGTTTCGACACTAATACAAATCGAACAATAGGTAGATTTGGCCAGAACCCGAGGGAGCCGTAATGTAGATGTATGCTGCATGTGAGAGACCCGCACACAAGATCTCAGTGTAGTGATTTAAATTACTTCTCCAACTGTTAACTCAAATAGTACGTTTTTAGTACAAGATCTGATGAAACCTCTCAAAGGGTGTGAGATCATGACATGTGAGCGTAGATGAAGCACTAGTGATCCAAAAATCCAAGCCAACCTTACGTATCCGAAAGAAGTACGTCCAACCTTTGTATTTAATATGGACACCGTAAACAGTCGATTCTCTCAATAATTATCATTTGATTAAATTTTTTATCCAAGCTTCCTGTTTATTATCCTGTTATTAAATTTTTAATCCTAGTTTACATAAACATTCAGTTTTCTCAACAATTGTTATCCAACTATGTCTTTATCCGAAATTCCTGTTTATTTTTGTTATTACTACGTTTTTAATCACTACTTCTAATCTTGTTATTCGTTATACTATGACGCCTGACTGAAAACAGTTCCGGACTTTTCTCACCCCTCTACTGCATTTACACGAAGCTACAGCCTAGTTGGTAGTTTTATCGAAAAGAAAATTTTCTTCGTTGCAACGGTCTTTTTAATTTTTCCTAAGACATCATAGTACTCGCCTTGAACTTAATTTCAGAGATAGAATGTCCAGACTCAGAAGAGAGTTATTTAGGTGGTCAGTGAGGACCAGATGGTTAAAGGTAAGTCTATGGATATCGTCTCCTGCAGGTTTGTACAGAGCACAACCTACCACTAACCCGCGAAGCTATTATTGTTTTTATGCATGTGTACTAGTCGAAAGCAACAAGTATGGAGTCATTGAAGTAGATGATATGTCAACTAACAGCTTACAGAAACACCTGCAACTCTGTATTGAATAATTTTAAAACAATTTAACCAGCCTACAGACCCAGTGCTTATTTCCTGGGCTACAGTGCTCCATGGTTGGTTAACATTAATCCTCCTGACCAAACACGAACCCAAAAACTACTCTACACACCCGGACCCCACATGTCATTTGACATAACTTTTCCAAGGACAGTGACCATAGTTAGGGGGAACTCACTAAGCCATTTGAGAAAGTGTGCCTTCAAAAATTACCTGGCATGTTCGAGGGTGCCCAGACTTCGGGCGGTCTTTTAAAGTGATCTCACGTGGCCACGCGTCATAGGCTCTGATAGATATGTCGTATTCACTGCCATAGGGCAAATACAAACATACGCGAATACAAAAGTGGAAGGGCGAATAAGAACGTCTGGAATTTACGACCGGACTGATGGACATACTGGTCTACTACCTACGGCAACCGCGAAACCCTGAATCGACACCCATGGTGTATGTAGGCTCCAAAATGCGAAAGGATCAAACAGTGCATGAACCTGTTTTGTTCACCATCAACCATGCGAAAGTAGCTGCTCACGCTGCTATACTATATTGTGGGTCAAACTTCAAGTCAAAGGATGTGGGGGCAGTTCCTCAAAACAACCACCCGCTTTTGCCTAGATAACCGCCATTGTGCAAACTATGAAACAACTGCTTCATTCGCATGGCGCATTTTTTTATTCGCATAATGTACCAAGTTTGTGTTTAAGTAAATAAATGAAAGTATGGGGACTTATAATAATATCTTCACCATTGTATTTACCAGTTACGATTTTCGCTAAACTTATTTCTCTTTTTGATATATTTTAACTGAATTATTTTGCGCAAAGCATTTTTTGTGCTCATACAGTACCAAGTTTGTATTTAAGTACAATGATAAGGGAGTCAAGAGGGATATAACAATGTTTAAAGTCTTATTTTTAGCCACTATAACCTGCCATAACGTGCAATATTTAGTGATGATGAATAAATACAGAACTTCACATAAACTGATAATTGGAACTTATGTTACCATACACCGAAAAAAAAGAAATGCAAAAAGAACTACAATGGACAAACATATGAGCTAGAGAACACAAACGTTTGAATTCTAAATTATAAAGAGTCATTAATTCAGAGGATACCATAGCTCTGTGAAGTAAAGTGGGAGGAACTACTGCAGAGTACTCACGTTACTCGATATGAAGGTGGATATTCTTTCTGTCAAAACTGGTACATGGTGGCGTTGAAAACGAGTCTTGCATACTCGTCGGTAACTAATTCATCGGGATAGATATAAGCTTTCAAATACGTGGTGTCTTACACAATTAATTAACTCCCCGTTTTTAAACTAGGAATGGTTCAGTAGAAACATCCTGCATTGGATAGACGCAAGTCGCATGCCAAGCATAATTCGATTTTCGTCCAAGAAATTGCGAGGCTCCTTATTTAGTCAACACCTGAAGGCACTAAATTTGTGTATTTCAAATTAACGAGACCATTCCGCGATATTAAGCATGTCCGGAAGAAACAGAGTCGAACACAGTCACCCCACACTAGGAACCAATTGCCTGACTTAACATCAAGTTCAAAAATAGGTTTAGCGTCATTCTTTTCCACGCCACTTAAGCTGTTTAATATTATGCAAGCTGTACAGTTGACTATTCCAGTATGCTGACAAGCAAAGAAGATACACATTACTGTTGCGCAGACTCATCACAGAGAAATTTAGAACTCAACGGACAACACGTACAGTTACTCGCATCCTACCGCACAAACATTTGTTTGATTCTATTTATCAACACTCGTCCCTGAGATTTATGTGTATAACGCAGAACAATCACGTAAAATTTCACTAAAAGAAAACTGATGAAGATAATAGTCTTACTTTAAGATCGATAAATACTCGTTAAAAAAGTACATTGATAACAGTTGTCTCACCTGCACACCGAAGTGTTCCTCAACAATGTTTTCATCTTTACGTACTTGAGGATAATTGATGCCAAACTGTTTCATTTGTACTGAAAAGAAAAAGGTCAGTATTAATATTCCGCATAAATATGTTTGGTGTCAAAAAGTTGAGAAGCTTATATGAAATTGTAAAGCCGGACCTAATTGGTCATTTAATCCCATTTCAGTGTATGGGAAAAAGGTTATGATAGAAACGAAACCTAATCATGACCCGACACTACCTCTCATTATCGAAGATTGCGAGGTAATTTGTTAAAAATGCCAATGCATGACAGTCAAAACCGAATAAATACGACGTAGTGGTATGTGATAAACTATTAGTAGTTAATTAACTTCAAAAAGTTTATCAGTGTCTAAACGCTGGTATGTACATACGTATTGGACATTAAGATGTAATTTCGACCCACGACTTACGTTGACTACACTCTTGTTTGAACTGGGGTAACCTTGATAGAGTAATCTGAACACAAAAATGCCTAGACTACAAGTGTCAAAACTAAGAGTTATCGGTATGTCAATAAAATACGTTGTCTGTGAAAATCTTCACAGAAATCGGAGGATTGAATCAAACTAAGAGTACTACCCCAAGTTAGGGCAGGCATAACTGAAGATGTGGCAGTTTTTTTCACTATTGGACATGTTGAGTGCTAATTTACATCTTTGTATACATATACACTATAGTGTATATATGTAGGTGATTCCAATTGCATACATATAAATGTATATATATATCCATCAAAACGCATAGTGTTTATTTTCTTTCATATAATACGAATAACACTCATTTAAACACAAATTACCGAATTGACAGAAGTGTGACCTGCAAACTCGCTTTAATAATACTGACCTATAGATTGACACTCTGAAGAAGGCACCAATCATTTGTAGGTCAACAAGTAGCGGAGTAAAACAAACACGTGAGTAAGTAATGAAGATTCCTTAACAGTCAGTTAACTCGTGGAGAGAATAAAAAAGAATCCGAATGAACATAGAGAAAGTGGTAATAAAAATGACCGATCACTACCAGCAAAGACAAGCACCAATCACTATTACTTATTTGGGCAGTATCATTTCAGCTACACGCGACATGGATTAGGATGTCACTGCCTGCTAGGAAAGGTGAGACAGACATGAATTAATCTGAAATCAGTGTGGAAATCAGCCACACTCAGCATAAAGAAAAAGATTCTAACTTTCAGTCAGTATGCCCCTCTAAACAGTTCGAAGACTTGGTGCACGCGTCATCAAAAGTATTCCCGGTAGATCTCTGACCTCCTCAGCGGCTGTATTTGTTTCACAGTGAGGATACGATGGCTGAAAATTAATAACGATAAAGATCTCTGGGAATGAAACAACCTTCGACCTATTTCCAAACAAATGTGAAACGGCAAACGTAGACGTATCGAACAAATACTGAGAAGACCTTTGATTAACACTTCGCTACATGTCCTTGAGGGAAGCCCGAATGGGAAACGACCATTTGAGCTCCTGAAGGTAGAATCAAGGATATTGTGTAAAGAGATGAGAGTTTATGGATGATCGTGGAATCAGATAAAGAAGATTACAGAGAACAGGATTAAATGGGAATGTGGCTTAGAGACCTGATGTTTCGCTGGAAACTACAGAGAGAAGTAATAATCAACAGGATTAAATACACACATTCCAAAATAAAAGTGTTGTTTACATACCACTTTTGGATTAGACATTCATCAGAATAAGGAAAAGAGAACGAAATAATACAGGAAGTTTTGGAAAACTGCTCTTATGGAAGTTTCTTAGGCGTGGTTTTCTTCCTATTCGCAGTGGATTTTACTGAAATCCCTAGTATGGTAAGATAAACGAGGAATTTTAATCAATAAATCGTCTCTGTATTGCATCTTCAGTATAACAACTCACTCACACTATAATGACCTTTCCTTAGATGATTCAAAGTAGAGGAAATAATGAGTGGTGTCAGCGCATTAATAACATTTTTGGGAAATGGCGAAAGCAGTCATTCGTATATTGTCACACAAGTTGCTAGCGTCTTCAGCTCTTCAGAACCGAATTCCTTAACAGAGCTGAATTCAACAAATAAGTTTTGAAAAAGATAGGTGAGGGCATAGTAATTTTTTCCGCACGAATCATGCACAGAATATCACAAGTTGTGGTTTTCGTAAGCAAAAAGCACTACTCATTACTGGAAGATGATATACATAATGTAGCCTAAGTTAGCAGTTATTCCTCTAGAAAATCACCAGTTACAACTCCAAACAACACAAACACATTGTCTAAAGAGCCGTATGGCACAATACGTTTTCTGATCAGCTTGTGCCGGCGACATATTTTTCAAGTGGGAACCCAAAAGTATTGAGTGTTTGCACTGTCTCAGAGCCTCAGTAGTGCTTAACTTAGCGGAAGTCAACGGAACCCGTAAATTCAAGCAAAGGGGCGTTCATATCTAGATGATGTATACTGTACAAACAGCTGCTTTATTCACTGATCTCTGCCGAAAATGTTATCTGACGCAATCCACACTAAGACATTGATTTTAATGATTCAATGTATTTGAACTGCTTAAACGCCGTCTCGATCAGGCAAGTACTTATGCGCATCTGATACCCAGACCACTTCTGTCATTACTTCTATTTTTCATTACTTTCCCCGGTTTTTACCTTCCATCTTAAACTGCATTTTATGAAACACTTTATTGAAATCTCCAGAAATTACCTTAAAAAAGTAAAATATAGTAAAACGTTACTCTGACCACAGCAGGGCAAGTGAATTTAAGTAGCCAATGTTCCAGATTACGTATGTAGACATGACGTTGTGTAAGGCCAGTACACTAGCAAGCATACTTATAGATACACATTGAGGTGGCTAAAACCGGTATCTTACCCTTAACTTTAGACTGGGCTGACTACCTGCTGGAGAATATGACGAGTAAGGTAGCTGCTTAAAATGTCTTCTCCAGATATTTTAGAAGATGGTTTCTGACGATTTTAACCTCAAAGGCATCTTTGGATTCCAAGTTCATGAAGAGAGCTTCCTTAGAAGCCGTTGTGACTTTTGGCGACGAACGTTTTTCTTTAATTTCTTTGTCTACGAATCTTGGCGGATACCCGTTTTCTAGTAGGGTTTCACGTCACATATTTAATTCTTTCTCTGCCGTGTCTCCCAAACAGAATTTTCTAATCCCTGGACTTGCGATATATTGATCTTTGGGTCGTTCCAGTCTTGTCTTCTGGTAAATACTACACCGAGGGATGGAAATGCTATGTTCGATTCACGTACTAAGTTAAATTTTACTGATGGGTGTGATTCGTTGAAGGTTTTTAGGAAAAGCTCTATATCAACTTTTTCATCATAGTCTATGAACGCGTCAACTGTGTATCTCCTGTATAAGTGCAGTTGACCTATCAAAGGATCGAGGATGTTGTTTTCTAGACCCGCTATGAAGCGGTTGGCTAAGAGTCGACCGAGAGGGGACTCCCTGGCTACACCATCTTTCTTCACATATAATTTTTCAGTTAATTTGAATTGGATATTAAACATACCTCTGAGAAGTAGTTCCTCTAGATAACTGATAGGAAGGGAAACTTCTAGGTTGTTGGTTTCGGTGTAGTCACAAACGAAGCAAATTATCTGAATCGGGGATGCTCGTGAATGTAGAGGTGACATCTAGTGAAAGCATTTACCTTTCAGACAGGTTGGTATCTTTCACTGAGTCAATGAAGTCAAATGTATCTCTTAGGCTGTCATATGTCTTCTTACTGGTCCAAGAATATTAGTTAGCCAGTTCGCGATCTGATGATATGGTGAATTGACCATGTCTATGATGGGTCAAAATAGGACATTCTCCTTATGAACTTTAGGCAATCCATTTAATATTGGAATAATTGAACTGCACGGCTTTATTTGCTCAAATGGCCGCGATGTTATGACTGAGTTTTCTTTTATTCTGTCTAACAATTTTGTGAAGAGATTTTCTGTTCTTTCCGTTGTCTTTCTGATTGGCCCGTTTGAAAAATTTGGTGTTGTCTGATAGTATGTTTGTTGATTTCTCGCTGTATTAGGATCTATTCATTACCACTATCCGATTACCCTATTCAGGACAGGTGAAGATTAGGTCGTTTTATCCTAAAGCTAATTTCTGTGTTCTGCGTGGCGTTTTCTACCTAGGGAACTATAATTGAACACTATTTAATTAGATGCTGTATGTAAATGCAGGAATGGTGTTTGTCTTATTAATATTTCGAGAATCAGTGAACGTAACAATAATAAATTCGCAACAGTAGGCTTGGAAGCTTGTCCTTCTGAGTTCCTCAGTCACTTACAACATCTTGGTGGCCGCAGAATGCCGTGTTGTTAGGGTTCTACACATTCTTGTGTCCTTAACAGCTTCTCACTCCCTTAACTACTAGCGCTATAGTAATAAATAAATAAATATATTTATTCTCATGATACAGTACATGAGGGACGCCAGTTTACAGGCATCATCAAATTGTTGCAGAAATAGAACCATATTATTCAGTCACATTTTACAATCGATAGCAAAATATGTTTAACATGTACTCTGGAGATTATACATACACTTGATAAATGTTAATCCCAGTAGTATAAAACAGCCTTTTTACTTATGTACAATCATTTCTGTGCATAGTTGGAAAAATCCGCTGGATTGTCAGTGAGTGCAACACATCAGGAAATACAGAAGTATTGTCTTCGCATTAACAAAAAACCAGGTCTTTGGTGGATGGGTTATAAGTGCCTGGGAAGAAAAATAAAGCTTGAAGTCAGTTTTCATACGTAATTTTGTTGTGTACAGAATTCTAGATTTATAGTTCATTGATGTGTTATTTTGAAATCAGTGATAAGTTTATCTCATTTGATCTGCAATGTCATTGTTGGGAGTAAAATACACAATCTTTAGACGCATTAATTAATGGATTTCTACTGCTTGTGGATATTTTCTTCTCGTGAGGAAGGTTTTTGAATTTCAGTTGTTCCGTCAAGAGTTGTGAATATTTACTGCTTAGCAACATTATGGATATAGGTTCCTCACATTATCTTAGTAAAGATGGGTTGTAGTTGGTGAGGTATATATGGTGCCCGACGAGCGTACATCTGTCCATGTGATGTTGTAGTGAGTTATACCTTTTTCATGTTGTAGGTTTAAATAATAATAAATAATTTTTCCTTCACGTTCCCCAGTGGAACATAGGGCTTCGAGCTAGTAGCTTGAAGTTTCTGTAGCAGAGTTTATTTTACAGGATGGGGTTGCTAGCCTCATGCCCAACCTTTGCTCTTTACCAGAATTATTTCTGGCTTAGAGAGGTAGAGGTGTGCGTCGGCCGGGAATCGAACCCCGGACCATGTGCATGGTCGGCGAGCGTCCTAACCGCTATACCACCGACGTACACTTAACTTCGGTGATCGGATGAGAACCGGTGCTTTCAACGTGGTATGGTCGCCGTAGGTTTATGTCCATTTTATTCCACTTATTGTGTTGGGTAGAAGTTTTACAAACGAAATTTTTTGCCTTTTTGAGGGTAAGTATCTTAATCGTTAATGTTTTATCTAAAATTATAAATATAGGCAAAAAACAACAGGTGTGGTATTTAAGCTTATACATTAAATGGACGTATAATTTCGGAGGCTCTCAGATAGGAACTAGGACTACTATCGTTTGCAAACTCTTGTAGTTTGCCGTTAAGCACTTTTTTGAAGGAGGCCAATGTACTTCCTTGGCGCATTCCCACTGGTAGTTTATTCCACGTCTGTGCACACCTAATCAAGTAGAACTTTTGTCTGGTGGCAGTTTTACATTGTTCGATAGCTACTGTACCCTTAGTGTGTCTTAGTTTGTAGCCATTGTCATATGAAAGTCGAGGGCCATTAGTAGAGGTAAACACTAAGTGGTTTAGAAGCATATAGTAAAGTGTTAAGTTTAGTCTCAGGAGTCTTAGCCATAGTGTTTCTAATCCTAGGGTGTCACATCTAGTGGAGTAGTTCGCACCATTTTCGGTTCCGAGTAATTTTGACGTGAAGTACCTCTGCACTCTCTCGACTTTCAATTTGTCCTCTATGCGTATACTACTATACATGAATGAACAGTAATCAAATAAAGGACGCGCACAAACCTTGTACAACAGAATTCTGGACTCATTTCTGTGGAAGTTCCTGAGTAGAAAGTCGATAAGTCTGACTTTGACACTTGTTTGGAGATATGTTCAGAAAATGATAAGTCATGTGAGTATTTCAGTCCTAGGTCCAATAATGATTCCAGTCGTAAGAGTGCATGGCCTTGAATTGTCAGGTCAAGTTCTAAATTGTTGCAACATATGCAGAGCCAGACACATTTTTCGACATTAAACTGGAGTTGCCAGGTGTCACACCATCTATCCATTTTTTCTAATTCTTGCCGTATGGCGTTTACTGTTATTCCGAGATTTGTATTCTTGCATTTATAGGTCACTTTTAAGTCATCTGCATATAGTATTGGTTTACCAACATTCAAGCATTCACACATACTGTTTATATATATTATGAATAGGAGTAGGCCTAATACACTTCCCTGGATTACACCACTACTTACTGGTTTAGGCCTTGAGATTATCGAGCCAACTTTTGTTATCTGATTCCTGTCACAGAGAAATGATTTTATCCAGCTCAGGAGAGGGTTACATATCCCTAGTGAGCATAACCTGCAGACTAGCAGATTATGGGGGACTCAATCGAAGGCTTTTGTTATATCGAAATATAGCACAATCACTAGTTCTCTGTTGTCCCTGCTTCGTGTAACTTCATTGAAAAAGTCTATGTGACAAGTCACACATGATCTCTTTTTGAGGAATCCGTGTGTGATGGATTGTTAAGTTCATGTTCTAGTAAGTTGTCTGACACTTGGTCTTTAACCACTTTCTCCATTATTCGTGATATTACCGGTGTTATATCAATAGGTCTATAGTTGCATGCACTGGTTTTGGCTGCTGATTAGTGCTTAGGTAATATGTATGTGGTTTTCCACACTTCAGGATAAGTTCCAGTTTCCAGTGACTGAGTAAATATTCTAAGTAACAAGACTACCATTTTGATGCTACCATTTTTGTATATGACAGGTGGTATATCGTCTGTTCCAGTACTACCATTTGACTTCAATTTCTTAATCGCTGAGTCTATATTTTTTATATTAAAATCTATTTATATATATATATTTCTTCCTGTTTATGAGGAACATACCAATTGTACAGGCATGGATAAGTTATCATATAAATTACACATAATTTGGTGTGATGAATTTACAGTGTGTTTGTTCTTTCTGACATTAGAGTCCATCGGAACAGTCTGCTATAAAGTCTGTTTGTGCAACAAATAAAGAAATATTGTCTTCGCATTAAAAAAACCCAGACATCAGATGAATGTAATACAAGTATCTGGGAAAAAAAGCTTGAAGTCAATTCTCTTACATAACTTTGTTGTGAACAGCACCCTAGGCTTAAAGTTTATTGATGTATTATGTTGAGATCAGTGATATATTTATTCCACTTTTTCAGCAGTCTTATCGTAGTTTTATAACAGGAAAGAAATTTGATCGTGGATGCGAAAACTAGATAAGGTCATATTAAGTTGTTTTACTGCATCAAATGGTGCCGAGGTCGATTCCAGAATTCTCCATTTGCTCCATTTGTGTC